CATCCCAACATGCCATGTCCACCACTTCCCCCATTCCCATCCCAACGTCCCACCTCCACCAACTCCTCAAATCCCAACGTCCCACTGGGATAGGTCGGCACCACCAAGACCGCCTGCTCCCCCCACTCCCCAAAACTTCCAAACCTCCCCACAGCAGCAACGGAAGCTTCAGATCATCCTCTCCCACAGCGGTGGGATCTTGCTGTGCCCTGTGCCTGCATGGATGGATCTTGCTGTGCCCTGACCTTGCAGCGCTGGGATCTTGCTGTGCCATGTTTCTGCGGTGCTGTCCCACAGCACTGGGATCTTGCTGTCCCCTGTCCCACAGCGCCGGGATCTTGCTGTGCCCTGTGCCTGCAGCGTGGGATCTTGCTGTGCCTGCTCGATGTCAGCGTGAAGCCCCTTGAACCCAGATGCTTGCTGACAGCTGCCTGTGTGGACTGTTCATAGTCGGGGAGGGAGGGAGAGTGAAAGAGACAGACGGAGGAGAGAGAGAGAGAAAGCAGGGGGCAGCCGTGCACCGATGGAGTGTTACCTTGGTGATGGCCTGGGAATCCGATGCCAGGGTGAGGACAGCGATGTGTTCCACCGATTGGACAATCCTCGAGCAGGCAGCACTCTTCTGCTGTGCCAACCACAGAATGCGCTCATCCACCAACATCATATTACTGGCCATTTCCACAACCAGATCACCGAGCTGTGGGGGTGGTGGGGAGGGGGTGGGGGGGGAGGTGAGACAGAGAGAGATGGGGAGAGGGGGGTCAGTACTCCAATCGGAATGGGAACCCTCACAAACGCTGCTGGGCAGCCTGAGTGAGGAGCAGGGAGCACTCACACTGGGACACAAACACCACGCTGTCCCTCACCATGTCCGTCCAATCATCACACTGTCCTCAGCTCAATCCATTCCAGGGACAGATCCCTCCCACTGCAGTAGGATCTTGCTGCGTTCACTGATCACATCACCCCATACCATGGAAACTGTCAGCTGTTTTCCAGCCTCTTCCACCACCTCAACCCTGACACACCCAGATATCACACTCGATCCACTCAGCACCGTGTCCGCAACAGGATCCAGTCAGCACCATGTCCACAACAGGATCCACTCAGCACCGTGTCCGCAACGGGATCCAGTCAGCACCGTGACCGCAATGGGATCCAGTCAGCACCGTGACTGCAACAGGATCCAGTCAGCACCATGTCCGCAACAGGATCCAGTCAGCATCATGACCGCAACAGGATCCAGCCAGCACCGTGAGCGCAATGGGATCCAGCCAGCACTGTGACCGCAACGGGATCCAGTCAGCACCGTGACCGCAACGGGATCCAGTCAGCACTGTGAGCATTACAGGATCCAGTCAGCATGGGACACAGTGACCAGAACAGGATCCAGTCAGCACGGGACACAGTGACCAGAACAGGATCCAGTCAGCACTGTGAGCATTACAGGATCCAGTCAGCACGGGACACAGTGACCAGAAAGGGATCCAATCAGCAAGGGACACAGTGACCAGAACAGGATCCAGTCAGCACGAGACACAGTGACCAGAAAGGGATCCAGTCAGCATGGGACACAGTGACCAGAAAGGGATCCAGTCAGCACGGGACACAGTGACCAGAAAGGGGTCCTGTTCTTCTGGTACAAAAACAGATATTGTTGGAGAAACACAGCAGGTCTGGCAGTATGTGTGGAGAGAAAGCAGAGTTAATGGTTGAGGTGTAGTGACCCTGTTTCAGAACTGATTGTAGCTGAGTGCAGCTCTGTCTGGGTGTGGGGCGGGGGTAGGTGTGTGGAGATGCTGCTTGTGTTTCACTGGAATACCGCAGCAAGCCAGAGTCCGAGATGTTGGCCAGGGAGCAGGGTGGTGTGTTAAAGTGGCAGGCAACAGGTAGTTCAGGGTCTTTTTTGCAAGCAGAACGTAGATGTTCTGCGAAGCGGTCACCAAGTCTACGCTTTGTTTCCCCAGTGTAGAGGAGACCACATTGTGAGCAGCGAATGCAGTAAACCAGATTCTGGGAAGTGCAGGCGAAGTGGGAGGAGGTAAATGGGCCAGTTACAGGGGAAGGTGGCATAGGGATATTTTGAGCATCAGTGGTTGTTTCGGGCAGTGCATCCTTGTACAGTTCTGGCCGATCCTTCAGGTGTCTAACAGATATTCCCCAGACTGAAGCAAATCCTGAGTGTGGCAGGTTCATTGCGAGATTGATGGCAGCACAGGGCCTGGCAGGAAGAGCATGGGCATCAGGGAGTAGGAGGACACTGTCAAACAGAAACAAGCCAACAGTTCTCAGATACATTACATCATGGATCTGAGCGGTGAAGCTGATGAATTTCTCGATCATCTGAGCCACATAAATCACATCCATCATATCACGGAAATTGGCAGCTTCAACGGTGTAGGCCAGCAGCTGGCGAGCAAGGGTCAGGGCATTGGAACTGTTGATGGGCATCTACAGGCGAGTCGGGGGAGAGACACAGAGAGACACAGAGAGACAGAGAGAGGGACAGGGTGAGACTAAAATAATCAACCCACAACCGCAGGCTGAAAAGCAAAACCATCGTTAATATTCCAACACAGTGTCAGGCAACTTCTCAGGCACACAGACAGTGTGCATGAAAGACACTCTGCACAGTCCGCATCAAACATCACCCCCAGTCCGCATCAAACATCGCCCCCAATCCCCGTCACACATCGTCCCCAGTCCCCGTCACACATCGCCCCCAGTCCCCGTCACACATCGCC